AAGTTGAAATGGAACCAAATCCTATTTAAGATAACTGATGGAGATGGTAGAATATTCCAAGTTTTAAATATCCCTATCAATGACATTAATTGAAAGACTGAAATCAGCAGAATCACATTACACGTTTCTATTGAACCCATATCAAACCCAGCAAATACTCACAGTAGAACCAATGAATACTATGTATTGTAATAATCCCATTTAAGTTAGTAGGTACCAAGTATCAACTCGATCAAGTTCTTGTTAATACTTTTAATTTTGAATTGAGTTGATGGGAAAAGGAGAAGAGAAATAATTTTGATTCTAGTTCTAGAGTTGCGGAGAACAAATCAAAAGAGATGAAGCCAATGTGCAAATGTCTTGAAACAAAGATCAGGTAGTTACTGAAAAATTAGTGGGGAGATAAGGATTCAGGGGAATTCCACCACCATTTTTGTTAATCAATTTGAACCAGAAATTAACTCCAGAATAGGGTTCATGGTGCATAAGACCTTATGCCAGGAAAGATAAGCACAGCTCCGATGAATCTTGTAAAGAAATGGTCTATAAACATCATAGTAAAATGCCAATAAGCCATGATATTGTTCAGTGTTCCAAGCATTCTTTTTTCGCTTGGAGGACTCTCGGGTAACCATTTCAATGACTAGGTTATTCCATTGTAATAACTTCCTACCATTTCCATCAAGAAGTACAATTTCTTGTAATAGATATAACAAACCCTAGTAGATCATCAAGTTCCAAGGAATATCCTAATTAAGAAAGCTCTCTAGATATGATGCTATTGACATTGATACTTAAGAGTCCATCCGTTGCTTCTCAAGCATGACTGTAGGCGTTGAAAACCAAAAGGAACTAGGGATTGATCCATCAAAATCACAAGACAAATCATCCATGAAGGACTTCAGGCAATTCCTGAGAAGCACTTACCCACTGAACAGAACAGAAGAAATGCAAATGGGAGATGATGAAGCTAACAAGCCGCAGCTACTGATCATTTTCCGTTGAAATTCAAGATCCTTGACAAATATTGGTGCTGTCACCGGACAAGAAAGTTGTTGCAGAGGCAAATTCAATTAATGTAATTCATATATGAATTACATTAATTGAAAGATTGAAATTAACTGAATAAACATTACAAATTTCTGTTGCATCATATCAACTCCTTAACAAAGCTAAGATCTCTACAAAACTTACCAAATACCAGTAAAGAAGAGTAAAATTTTTTTTTTTTGGGTACATAGAGACTATGTGGCTAAGAGCATAATAACCATATCACTAGACCACATGACTGATAGTAACATATGTAAAATTTTGTTATTAATAAATGTTATTGTCTTCAACTTTAACCATGCTCATAATCTTCTGTACGGGTTGCTTATTTGGCCGTTGCAGATTGTCTCTAAGCCCGTTGCATTTCTCTTAAAAAATTGTGTCATGATTTTGATTTCAGTATCATTAAAACACTCCATCTTCACCTCTTTCAAGCACTGTTTCCATCAGTTCACAGGCGAAATATGCAGGTCATCTCGTACATGTGCCTCAGCACATGAGAACTGCAACATATATACGCAATTATACATGAGCTCAAAAAGGATTATACAAGTTGGAAGGAATAATCTTTATCTATTTCCCAAACCCACATGCAAACAAAGCAACTCAACCAGTAAATACTTGGAGATTTTCAAGGTGGAAATCTCAATATTGAACAGGTAAGACAAACGAGAGGGGTTTGAAAAAGAGGGCAAAGCTATTCCTGTTGTATATATCACCCATTATCAACTATACCAATAAAGAAGTTTAATAAACAATTATAACCACATAAAATTCAAAGAATCAGTATACCTATCTATTGCCTCTTTATCAAATTCATACAAGAATACTTCGGTTTTACTAATAAGATAAATGTATTTTTTTAATGGGGACAGACTAACTAGTTGAAACTCTCATGGGGAGGGATGGAGAGAGAGAATAAGGATTCGAACCTTGACTATATAAGTGAGAAAGTGCTTTTTTATTAATAGTTTAACCAATTACTTTATAAGTCTTCCTCACTAATAAGATATATAAATTAAGCACAATTATCAAACATTTTTAAAAAAGATTAACCTCAAAATGACATAAGGAAATGATGCTAGCTTAGTGAATGAAGCAAATCAAATATTCATGTACCTGTAAGATTTTTTTTTCCTCTTGTCCCTTCTTTTTAATTGTGATGGACTTCGCGTAAGGACAGCACCAAAGTAAGCTATCCACTAACTTTTCCTCAATTGTTGACTCTGTTTCTAGCTTGGTATAGATCTAGTCGTGCCAAGGAAGCACCAAACAAGGAAAGATTTCAACCTTTAGATGCTTCAAGTCAAGCAGAGGAGGCACCATATCATCCCTCAATTCTTCAAGAAAACTCAAAACCTGAACATATAGAACCAGAAAATCCCATGTCAACATATTTTGTGATGCTGTCACATAATAAAAGAGAATTTAGAGAACGTTGAAATTGAGGTAGTACCTTAGCACTATTGCAGACAAGAGTTGAGACTTTACAGTGCCCAAAGCATACCAAAAAGTCTGTCAATACCTTAAACCAAAACCCAACCTCAAATGCTTGCATATGGAGCTTGAGAATGAGCTTAACTTCATAACATGTACTTGGTAAATGAACAACAAAGCAAGGCATTGGTTTGTTGATGCTAATTTCTATTTCTAGGTTTCTGAGGCACTTAGCTTCAATATCGATCTGACAAATCGACCAATTATTCCCCTTACAGACAAAAGAGTTCAGTCTGTCAGCCATAATCTTGATATTCTGCGCGGATTTGCAGTTATCCAAGGTAAAGCTTTTCAGACTTGGTAAGGAAACAAGTATATTTGTCAGGGAATAGCACTTTTTGAGGCTTAGTACCTCAAGCAGGGAAAAGTTGGACAGATGGATTGCCAGCCACTCCTCAGAAACACCAGGAGTTTCCAATATTAAAGTTCTAACAGACTTACAGGAAGACATATCGATCCATTGGTGGTGCAGGCAACGAGACAACTTTCGTATGAGAGAGAAGTATTCAAGATTTGGTGCTACAATATCCATTTGCAAAGCATGGTAATCCTCAAGTTGCAGAGTTTTGAGACTTTCACACGAAAGAACAAAGTTCTTTAGGCCCCAAGCAATCCGAAAGCCTCAACACTTCAAGGGAGGGATAACTTATTATCAACTTTGGTGCATTAGGGTTTAATTGAATTCCACCTAGTTTCAACACCTTGATACATTTAACTGAGGATGGCAACCTATAGAAAATCCTCAATTGCTCGAACAATTTAGGAGGACAAAAGTTTACATCCAGCTCCTTTACATTATTCTCCATCACAGAATCAATAAGCTCACGAATAGGACTATGTTGATTCATCCTTATGAACTCAAAATTAAGTCTGAACTTGTTTAAACCAAATATATGTGTTGCACGAAGACGCTGAAGAGACAATTTGACCGCAGCAAGCAAATCGTTAGTAAGAACGGACTTGTTGATATCAATAACGGGGAAGACACTCCATGCAGACCTGAATCTCCTAGATAAGGCAGCCATACTGGCGATATCTTTGCCGGAGAGGAAGCCCATTATACAGTGTAGGATGTCATCTGGAAGATCGGAAAGCCGATCTGGGGTCAACTGTTGGGACATTGATAGGCTGACGAGGGAAGTTTTTGGAGGAAAGTAGTTTTTGGGTTTTGGGGAAGGTAAGGGAAGGGCTGAATGCAAGGTTTTATGACTCTGGAAATCCACTACAAAACTGGAAAACTAAGAGAAATTTTTGTTGAAGAAATAACTGCAGATTATGCATGGTTGAGGATACATAGGGAGTGCGACCTTGGTTTTAATAGGAAAAGGGAACAAGTTAGGGATAGGATTTTTTTTTTTTTAACCCATCATAATTTAGAATTATTTTCAAAAGAAATTGAAGTGAAAACTGGATTTTCTAATTAAACCAGACTTCCTAATCAGTATTAAATTTGAAATAGGAATAATAAATCTTGTTGTAAGAGTTGGAGTATCCTTGCTCTCCAGAATAAATTTTGCAGGATAATGTTGGAGACTTGGAGTAGTACTTTATGATTTGAACCATTTGCGTTGATTTTTTTTTTTTTTTTTTTT